TGGGACCTAAACACAATGGAATTTCACACAGCCATTAGAAAGAATGATATTGCCATTTGCAGGGAAATAGATGGACCTAGAATAAATTATGTCAAATGAGGTAAGCTAAGCTCAGAGAGTCAAACTGTGCATGTTTTCTTTCATATGTGGAAGCTAGATCTAAAATATACTGGGACATGATAAATTATACAGGACTCTTGGCATTCACACACAGTGAGACCAAAGGATGATACCCTTAGGAGAGGAAGAGAAAGGCAAAATTCATGTGTGTATCTGATCATACAAAATAACATTTATTGAAATGAACTACAAAAAATAAAAATAAAAGAGTAAGTCAGGCATCAATCATATATTAGAGAATAGTCCGAGTCAAGCAGAGTTGCCACAAAATAAAAACAAGAAACTTACAGGGCACTAGTGGCTAATGCTTGTAATCCTAGCTACTCAGGAGCATGAAATCTGAGGATCATAGTTCAAAGCTAGCCCAGTCAGGAAATAAGACTTTTAACTCCAATTAACCAGCAAAATAAAGCCAGAAGTAGTGTTAGAGCACCAGCTTTGAGCAAAAAAGCTAAGGGACAGCGTGAAGTCTCTGAGTTCAAACCCCAGTACTGACAGCAGAGAAGGGGAGGGAATGGGAGGGGAGGGGAAAAAAGGGAGGGGAGAGAAGAGGAGGGGAGTGAATATCTAACTAATAGCCACCCTCTGTCCAATCCTAAATTTTACATTGGAATGGAAACCTAAAGTCAAATAAATAGATTTAACAACTCCACTTTCCTCATACAGTCAAAGGCTAGAGAATAAAATAATCTAAATAAATAAAGATCTGTTTAAGTTACCAATCATGATGCAAAAGGCAACTTAAAAAGACTTAACTACTTTATCAACAAAAAAGAATAGTCTGGAAAAACTGGAAAATTTGCTAATAGTAACTGTTCCAATACTAGAAGGACAATCTGCATTGCTTTTTTTTCAACTAAAATTAAATGATTATATTTGTATTGTGCTTATGTGTAAAGAGTATATTTATGTGTAAAGAGTATATTTGTATATAATACACTGAAATAAGGTATATGTGGGTATAATATATTAACTAACACAAACTTCATCAGAAAAAGTATTATCAAGTTAAAACATGTCTTATTTGTTACTAGTGAAAGGCAGAAGAATGTAGGAGGGGAGGGAGGAAAAATGTACTCAAATACTTTAGATTCATAAGTGAAATGGAACAAACATCAGAGCCTGCTTTGAAAAAGTGAAGGAAAACAGGGAAGGGCATCATAATCAAGATGCATGATCAAGATGCATTGCATACTTAAGTGGACATGTTAAAGTAAAATCCCTTTGTATATCTAATTAATAATCATTTTAAAAGAAGAAAATAATTGACTGTTAAATTGCAAAAAATATATTTTTTCAAACTTTTCACTTAGCAATACAGAAAGCCAAATAATGCATAATTAATAGTACTATTCAATTTTTGCATCTTGCCTGGCACCAGTGGCTCTCACCTGTAATCCTAGCTTCTCAAGGAGGCTGAGATCTGAGGATTGTGGTTCGAAACAAAGGAGGAGGCAACAATGCTTGATAAGAAATGTACTCATTACCTTGCTCATGTAATTGTAACCCCTCTGTAAGGTATTTTCACAATAAAAAAAACTTATTAATAAAAACAAATAAAAATTCTATTAGCTACCAAAAAAGCTGAAAGTGGAGTTTGTGGTTCAAGTATTAGAGCTCTAGCTCTGGACCAAAAAGTTTAGGGACAGCACCCAGGACAGGTGCGCGTGCGTGCACACACACACACACACACACACACACACATACACACACACACACACACAAATTACATTTTGTCTTATCTGACAGGAAGAAAGGAAAGAAAATAGATATATTAAAAACCACAAAAGTCTAAATAATAACCTTTCACACCACTTAAGATGAAATTCTCAGAAGAACTAGCCCTCAAAAGCACATAGTCTAGAAGTGAAATTAGGAGTTTTTACATCAAAGTGCCTGGGTTTGAATCTAAGTTCCATCACTAGGTATACTTCACCAAGTTTCAGTTTTTCACACGTATAAAAAGGTAATAAAAATTGTATTTAACAGTGGGGGACATAAGATATTTGAGGAATTTTGAATTTACACTTGAGGTATGGAGAATGCATTATATAATTTCATTTTAAAGTATGGCAACACTGGGCTGTAGTGTAGTTTAGTGGCAAAGGGATTGCCTAGTAGGTTACAATGCTCCAGGTTCAATAGCCAGTACCACTAAACACATACACACACATTACAGAAACACCACCATATTTGTGGATTTGTTCACGTGCAGTTTTGACCAGTTGTGGTTGAAAAAATTAACAAAAATAAGAAACAGAAAAATAAATTTCAAAAATAGAAATATTTCACTCTCAGCCATGTATTATACAGCTCAGTTGATCCTGAATAACTCTGTCTCATGTATCGCCAGCTGTGCTTACGTCCTTTGAGCTGCTGCTTCCCTATTATTGATTTTGTGAAAGTCTGCCTTCCAAAATGTAAAGCAAAAGCAAAGGTGCTTACTTAAAGTGATAAAGTAAAAATTTCTGGTTTGTGGAAAGGCAACCCATGTTTAGTACAGAAGTTGGGCAGTGTCTGGGATAAATGAATCAAACATCCACAGAATTGGAGATCAAGAGAATCAAATATGATCCACTTTTTGGCAAGCAGTATTAATGTTTACACAGTAATTTTGTGACAATGTAGTGTACTTTGTGTGATTTCAAGTTATGTTGTGCATATGACAGGTAAATTTGAGCTATTTTATTTTATTTTTTTTTTTTGGTTGGTCGTGGGGCTTGAACTCTGGGCTTGGGCGCTGTCCCTCAGTTCTTCAGCTCAAGGCGAGCACTCTACCACTTGAGCTACAGCGCCACTTCCGGTTTTCTGGTGGTTTATTGGAGATGGAGTCTCACAGTCTTTCCTGCCCAGGCTGGCTTTGAACCACGATCCTCAGATCTCAGCCTCCTGAGTAGCTAGGATTACAGGCGTGAGCCACCAGCGCCCTGCAATTTGAGCAATTACAGAATTTTATATCTCAAGGATCCATGATTTTCCTCAGAGGCAGTCTCCTTGAAAGTACATACCTGTGGATATCAAGGGTACTCACTGAGCAATCTCTTCTTCTTACTGGTCCATCTATGACCACGGGACCAACTAATTATATAAGCCTTCTGAAGTAAAATCTAGAAAGGAACCAGTAACTCATGCCCATAAACCAAACTACTCAGAAGGTGGAGATCTTGAAGATCATGGTTTGAAGGCAGCCTGGGCAGGTAAGTCCATGAGACACTTATCTCCACTTAACCACTAAAAAGCCAGAAGCAGAGCTGTATTAAAGAGCTAAAGGCCTAGCTTTGAGCACAAACACTCAGGGACAGTACAAAGCCCTGAGTGAAAGCTGCAGAACTAGAACAACAACAACAAAGAACTAACAATGGTCTTAAATCTCTCCTTAAATTTTCTTGGAGAGATGTCTGAGAAGAAAAGTGGAAATGCCCAGTTGTGCTCTCAGGTACCCCTGTTTCCTCTTGATGAATAGTACACAGTGACCGAACTGTAAAACCATGTGAGCATTCAGAGTCCAGCACCTTGGAGGCAGTGGGCTCCTGTAACTGAAAGCAAGCCTTGAGAAGACCCAGACTTTCACCAAGACCCAGATTCCTCAGAAGCACAAAGTTTGCCCAAGGTAAAGTAATCAGAACCTTCCCAACAAGCCTTCTCATCCTAATATTCAGTTGCTATGTGGTGAGTGAGAAGAATGTAGGAAAAGATTCCTGAGCAACTATAGTAACTGGCACTGAAAAAAGCTCCTGGCACTAATTTGTAGTGCTCTGCTTCCTGCCCTGTGTCTTTATGCCAGACCTAAGGCCAGTTAACCACAGATCATTGTTCCTGTTAAGTGTAAAAGTCAAGCCAAACCTCTATGTCCATGGCTGAAGGCCAAGAAGGTATAAACATATAAAAATAAACTCTCTTATGGTACCATGACCCCTTGTTTAGGGTACAAATGCTTGAAGAATTTTGTAGAAAACAGGATGTGGGGCTGGGAAGGTGGCTCAGTGGTAGAGTGCTTGCCTTGCATGCATGCCTTGCCTTACAGGCCCTGGGTTCAATTACTCAGCACCACATAAGCAGAAAAAGCTGAAAGTGGCACTGTGGCTCAAGTGGTAGAGTGTTAGCCTTGAACTGAAGAGCTGAGGGGCAGCGCCCAGGCCCAGAGTTCAGGCCTCACAACCGACCAAAAAACTTAGTATATTTCCATTCTTTTTTTTTTTTTAATTTTTGACAGATACCTGTCTTCAGTCTTTGTAAATTTTTGTTTTGCCTTACAACAATTACTGCCTCAAGGTGTTTTTATAAACCTATAATTGTTAACATCTTTGTTTCACAGTGGCAAGACAGTTTCTAAAAATAAAATAAAATAAAAAACAATAATAGCCAAGTGCCAGGGCACAGGCCTATAATCCCAGCTACTCAGGAACCTGAGATCTGAAGATCCCAGTTCAGCTTTTGGCAAAAATTTCATGAGACCCTTATCCTTAACTAGCAAAAAGTGAGAAGTAGCACTGTAGTCCAACTGGTAAAGCACCAGGCCTGAGCAAAATGTTAAGAGACAGTAACCAGTCCCTAAGTACAAGCCCAAATATCAATGGAAAATAAAAAACACAGAAGAATCTCTTACTTTCTTTTAGAAAGTAATATGGGGCTTTAAAAACTATGGCATAATGGGGGAAGCAACTCTTCCATTCAATTTAAATATATATTTTTATATTGGTTTTGTTAAACTACACGATGCTAAATATAGAATTATGCCTTTCAGTATTCACAGCATTAACTTCAAGACACAAAATTCTTTTACCATTTCTCATAAAAATTTTTCTAGAAGCATTGTTCATTAATCTATGTTTAAGCCCATATGGTTTGGGTATTTCAAAGAAGTCTTTTTTGAAACTTACCCTGACACATGCAACATCAGCAACATGTAGAAGATAAAGAAGAGGTTGTGTGTATACCAGAAGATGTCATAGCTGGAAACTCTGCAAACAATTCAGAAAATTTCAATCCCATTTACATTCCATCACACTGAAAAGAATATATATTTGTGGCAAATATATCACAACTTTAAAACTGAAGTATTAATTTATTTAAGATCCATCTATTAATACCAAAAAATAAATCTACCACATAAAACTTACAGAAATTACAAGTAACATTTTTGTTCTTGTGGAAAAATGGCATGTTTCAAATGAAGACACATTAAAAGAGCTGAAATAGGGTACATATTTAAAACTGTCATGTAGTTCATTACTGCAGGTTCATGTTTATAATCCTAGCTACTTAGGAGGCTGAGATTTGAGAGTAAAGGTTCACAGTGGGCAGATAAATCTGAGAGGCTCTTATCTCCAATTAACCAAGCAAAAAGTTGAGGAAACTAAGATGTGTGTCAAGTTGAAGAGCATCAGATTTGGAGAAAAACACTAAGCAAGGAAGGCTGTATCAGGTAAATTTTTCCTGAGCTATATTTTAGGGTTGTTGGACAGACAACAAATGTTTCTTTAATGAATTCACTGAAGTGATTCTGAAATCCAAGGACACACTGTAAAGGAGGAATAAAGGGAAAGGTGTGTCTTCAGGATTTTTAAATAGCAATTATTACATATTCATTTCTCCAAATCTCTACATATATTGAGCTCTCAGTAAACTTACAGGACTTTTTTTCTACTCTCAGTTTCTCATGATTATTAGATATCTATGTTTTGTTGAATATTTTCAACTCATTCAGTTTTCAAACTAATTATAGTATAAAAAGGTTTCCATATTTTATATTTTATTATCATTTTCAAAATTGTATTTGCTAATAAAAGTAAATTTTTTCATTCTCTTCTTATAAATTCTAAATAGACAATTATATCTACTTTGCTATATTTTTCCTAATAATTTCACGTTTCATTTCTGAACATATATAAATAATATCAGAATTAAAAGTAAAATCAAGGTATTTTTTCTCATTCTTTTTTTGGTGAAAATACTGTACAGAGGGGTTACAATAACATGGGCAAGATGAGTACATTATTTATCAAGCAATGTAGCCTCCTCCTTTGTTTCTCATTCCCATCCCATCCTCACCCCGCCCCACCCACCCAACCCTCCCACCCCACCAAAGTTGGATTTCGACATATAATTTGTACATCTCATTGTTGCAATGGGTCCACCTGTATCCCTATTTAAATGATTTGTTTTTTCCCTTCCCCTCCACAAATTATAACAACATCAAATACAGTGAAAGCAGGGGTTATACCATGGGGAAGGGATATACAAACCAACAAAGAAATCATTTAAATATGTTAGAAACAATAACATGAAAGAAAAAAATATTTCAATACATATCTTAGGGTATATTTCACCTAACATCAACTTATCTAACCTTTTCTGCTTGACTCAGACATATACTAGTTATTGCAAATAAGGGAAACCATGGGACTTATGTTTCTTTGGGCCTGGCTTATTTCACTTAATTTTTTCCAAGTCTTTGCATTTCCTAACAAATGGGACAATGTCATTCTTTCTGATGGAGGCATAGAATTCCATTGTGTATATATACCACATTTTCTTAATCCATTCATATACTGAGGGGCATTTGGGTTGGTTCCATGTGTTAGTTATGGTAAATAAGGCTGCAAAAAACATAGTCATACTGGTAGCTTTAGGGTGGTCATGTTTGTGAACATCTGGGTAAATGTCCAAAAGTGGGATTGCTGGGTCATAGGGGAGCTCTATGTGGACTCTTTTGAGGAACCTCCATACTACTTTCCAAAGTGGTTGAACAAGTTTACACTCCCACCAACAATTCAGTAAGGTTCCCTTCTGTCCACATCCCCTCCAGCATCTGTTGTTATTAGAGCTCTTGATTATAGGCATTCTAACTGTGGTGAGGTGATATTTCAATGTTGTTTTGATTTGCATTTCTTTTATGGCTAGAGAGGTTGAGCATTTCTTCATGTGTCTATGGGCCATCCTTCTTTCTTCTTCTGAGAAGTTTCTCTTTAAGTCTTTAGCCCACCTATTTATTGGGCAGTTGTTTCTTTGAAAATTTGTTATTGGTGGATTTAATTTTTTGAGTTCCAGGTATATTTTAGATATGAGACCCTTGTCTGTTGTATGGCTAATGAAGATCTTCTCCCAATCTGTGGGCTTTCTATTGATCTTGCTAGCTATGTCCTCTGCCATGCAAAAGCTCTGCAATTTCATGCAATCCCATTTGTCCAAACTTTCTTTGATTTGTTGTGTTTCTGGGTCTCTATTAAGAAAATTTTGGCCTGTGCCAAGGAGACCTAGGGTTTCTCCTATTCCATCCTGCAATGTTTTCAGAGTGTCTGCTTTGACTCCGAGGTCTTTGATCCATTTGGAGTTGTTTCTGGTATAGTTCTCTTTCTTTGATGAGTCCCTGCCTGGTTTTGGGATGAGGGTTATGATGGCTTCATAGAGTGAGTTCGGTAGTGAACTTTCTTTCAATTTCATTGAAGAGTTGGAGGAGTATTGGTGTGAGCTCAGCTTTGAAGGCCTTGTAAAATTCCACTGTAAAACCATCTGATCCTAGGCTTTTCTTTTATGGGATGTCTCCTATTGCTGTTTCTATTTCAATGCTTGATATAGGCCTGTTAAGACGGTTTAACTTATCTTGGTTTAGTTTTGGCATGTCGATATTTGCTAGGAAAAGGTCCATTTCTGCCAAGTTCTCAAACTTATTAG